TCTTTCTAAGAGTGTTATAACTACTGAGTACCAACATGCATAAAAAACAATCAAATTAACATTCAAATGGCCAAAGATAGATCCAAATTAATTCTATTCTGGACAGTAGAACAACCTATAAAATTACTAAATCCAGAATCTCTAACATCATTATTTCTTTGAGGCAATGAAATTGATTATGACAATTCACAAGCTTCTATATATTCTTCTTCTGCACGTACACTCTTTTCATTCATATTCTTTTTTTCATTTAACTTTGTCACCTACAAAAAAAAAAGAAATAATAAAAAATGGTGATATTTTGGATTTAAATATTTATGCAGGAAAAACTCAAATTTTACAAGTTTGAATTTAAATAATTTGGTAGGACCACTGAAATGTAAAAATGAGTTGCATTATCTAGGATGATAATTATTGTTATGAAATGGAGTAATTCTTACCATACCACAAGATATGAAAAACTCTTGAATTGTGTGATGAGTTCATAGCCATGTATGTAGGGTCTTTTTATAGTCAACAATGATATAATTAATTGAGAATGTAATGCATGGTTTTTATGTATATTTCACTGCTCATCACTGTTGTATTAAAAATACATAATATTTAATATGCAAGTGTTTTATGTGGTTTTAGCTTTAGCATGTCAATGAAGATAATTTTTTCTAAGACTATGCTTCTTATTTTACATGCATGATGGAGCATTGCTTCTAGGTAATCAATTTAAGACATTACAACTATGTTGTCAGTTACACAACTAGCGTACAATTCCAATTATAACTACAGGGTCAACTTCGATCTTTTTAATATAAGGTCTAACTATATTTTAATTTTCTGATCACGACCATTTTTTTTTTCTAATTTATTTCTTTACACCAATTTATTTTCTAATTATTTTCAATAAAATATCAATACTTCACATTTTTTAACAACTTATTATTACCTCATTTACTATTAATGAGATATATATCTATAAAATTATGATCAACAATTACTTTTATTTATTTAAATATCTCCTTTCTTCTTCTTCAAATGGTCTGCTTTCTTTTTCTTTCTCTCTTCTTTCATTTTATCTCCTTTTTCTTTTTCTTCCTTTATCTATTTTTTTAATTGAAATAAAATTGAATCAAGCGATGATATAAGACATGCGATGCCGTTTCGTATGAGTTTGTAATCTTTAAAAAAAATGCACTTGGCAGTCCATGGAAACCTGCTGACTAGGATAATTTATGTAATGGTGATAACTCTTTGATCAAAACAGTCCTTAGGTTTATATCTTAATACCATGTCATGATATGAATTTGACATACCATGACCAATTGCCTCTTGGTGGAAGTATGTCAAATATAGTTAATAATATTTATAAGATCAATTTAGTGACAAAATATTTCGAATTTCAGGATATAACTATTTTCCTTTTAAAATTTTGTCTTTTTAAAAAAAAAATAATAAACACTTTTAGTAAAACAATTTTTTTTCTTATTTACATTTTTATTATATTTTAAAAACAAACACGTGCGTACCACACCAATATCCGTGCAAACACGCATGTACTAATATAATACGTGCATATGGTACTGATATTAAACTATGATTTAAATATTAAATAATAACGAGAACAAATTTACTATTGATTTAAAATTTTGTATAAATATTTTCAAAAAATATATATTTATATATAAGAATAATTATATTGTTGATTCAAATATTTTGATTTACGAAAAAAATTATAGAAACCGATTTATTATCACTTTTAAAAATAATAAACTATTTTGGTTAGGTAATTTTGTCTTTTTTTATTTCATTTTTATTATATTTTTGAAAACAAATGCGCATAATACACCAATACTCCTGCGAACTAACAATTAACACACCAGTACCGTGTAAACGCTTGACTAATCATATCAATATCTATGCAAACGAGAACATGAATTTACTGATCAAAATATTAAATTTTAACGGGAACATGAACTTACTGATCAAAATATAAAATATTAACGGGAACATGAAGTTACCGATCAAAACATTGAATATTAACGGGAACATGAAGTTAACGATCAAAATATTGAATATTAACGGGAACATGAAGTTACTGATCAAAACATTGAATATTAACGGGAACCTGAAGTTATAGATCAAAATATTTAATATTAACGAGAACATGAAGTTACTGATAAAAATATTGAATATTAACGGAAACATGAAGTTATTGAATATTAACATGAATATAAAATTATTGATTAAAATATTAATAGGAACATGAAGTTATTGATCAAAATATTGAATATTAACAGAAACATGAAGTTGCTGATCAAGATATTGAATATTAACGGGAACATGAAATTACCGATCAAAATATTGAATATTAACGAGAACATGATATTACTGATCAAAATATTAAATGTTAATGAGAACATGAAGTTACTGGTCAAAATATTGAATATTAACGGAATCATGAAGTTACTAGTCAAAATATTGAATATTAATAGAAACATAAAAATATTGAGTAAAACTATTGAATGTAAACGGAAATATGAAATTATTGGTCAAAATATTAAATTTTAACGGTAACATAAAGTTACTGGTCAAAATATTTTTTTTCATTAATTTTACATTCAATTAATTTTTTTGCAATAACCATTAAAAATAATAGCATTTTTAAAAGTCAATGTCATCATTTATAAAAGTTATAATAAAAAAAGTATTAATATTTTTATGAAAATATTTATTGAAATAGTATTTATAAAAGTCAATGTCATCATTAATTTTTTTAATTATTATATTTTAACTTTATTTATACTTTATATTAATTATTATAAAATATTTTATTTTAATTTAAATTTATTTTTGAGTTCAAATGCGCATAACACAACAGTCGCACGGGTATCCCACTAGTTAAGATTTGAAACAAACTATATTTTATTTTCTAACGAAGTCACGTGTTATGTTTTTGAAAAAAAAACAAAATAGACAATTTGAGTAGAATAAATTTTCTTATATTATAGATTAAATCAATTTTTATGTATAATTTCGACTCTAATGTCTATAGTTTGGCTTTCAATTCCATTTACTTAATTGTGTTTAATGATAATTTTAAAATATTATTAATATTATTAATTTAATTTTATATATATATATATATATATATATATATATATATATATATATATATATATATATATATATATATATATATATATATATATATATATATATATATATATATATATATATATATATATATATATATATATATATATATATATATATATATATATATATATATATATATATATATATATATATATATATATATATATATACCTTTAAAAAATAATTATTTTATCAAACTTTTATTGGACAAATATTGTGTTACTAATTTCAATCGTTTCCTTTAACTATAGCAGCAATAAATATTGAATACTTAAACATGTTGATGTTAGTTTTTTTAATTATTTTAAATAGCTAAAATAATTAATATTCAAAATATATGATTATTCAAAAAATAATTAAATTAATTTAGACATTTATAATATTTATATTTATAACAAAAATAAAAATATATAGTTTTTAATTTTATTGGATAAACTAGTTAGTGCATCCACACAAGTTAAAATTATTTTGTATTGTTGAATTGTATTCAAATGCACATTGAGATCAATATTTATGTATGCTTTTTTGTCTGAATCTAATTAGTTGTGTCTGAGGCCATTTCATGAAGTATTCTAATCACATTTTCATTATTACATACAAGTGTAAATGAGTGATAGTCCGATACCTATCAAATAACAACAAATTATCTTCACAATAAGAATAAATCAGTTCTTCATTCATATTACAACGAAAAGATTAAAATATATAATAATTAAGAATTTAGACATTTCATTCACTACTACGGAAAAGGGCTTTTAAAGCGCTTATTTTGGCCTTTAAAAGCGCTTAAAAGCGCTTTAATAGCTGGCGCTGGCGTAGGTAACAAAAGCGCTTCTAAAAGCGCTCTGGTAGACCCCCCCCTTTAAGAGCGCTTTCCTGGAAAAAGCGCTCTGGTAGGACCCCCTATAAGAGCGCTTTCCTGGAAAAAGCGCTCTGGTAGACCCCCCTTTAAGAGCGCTTTTCCCAGAAAGCGCTGCCAAAGACCAGTAAAAAAGCATAAAAAATTAAAAAAAAACGCAGCCTACAAAAGCGCTTTTGGAAAAGCGCTCTGGTAGGCCCCCCTATGAGAGCGCTTTTTCTGGAAAAAGCGCTCTGATAGGCCCCCCTATAAGAGCGCTTTTCCAAAAGCGCTTTTGTATGCTGCGTTTTTTTTTTAATTTTTTATGCTTTTTTACTGGTCTTTGGCAGCGCTTTTACTAAGAAGCGCTTTAGTAGGTGGACCTTTAAGAGCGCTTTTTAAAAGCGCTGTCATTTCTAAATGAGGTATTTTTATGTGCAGCCTATAATTTAATCCTCCCAGTCGACCTGTAATGTTTTCGACCTGTAATATTTTCGACCTGTAATATATTTTTGACCTGTAATATATTTTCGACGCTATTATTTCAGCCATCAGTAAGACAATATATATACTAATATAATACCATTATAATATCCAAAATTATATATATACATCATTACATCAATAATATTATAGTTCAAATCGACACAAATCCTACATGAAAAATTGCTTAATATAATATTGACACAAATCTTCTATAATATGGGATTGATTATATAGTTATTTGTGAGTGTTTCAACAAAATTAATCAAACAAACATAATAACAAGTCGACATGCTGCAACTTTAAATTAATCAAACATACCAACATCTAAGATTTTGCAAAATTGAAGTTCATTCAAACTTAAGGTTTGCAAACTTCAATCTACACGTACACATAGTTATCTTCTTAACTCAATCAAATTTTTGGATTCTCTGCTCAATAACATACCAAATGAAAATCCGGAGTTAAACAACAAAAAAATGCTAGAAACATAAAAGAAATGCAGCAAAATCAACTCTCATTGCTCTACTTATTCGCTAGAAGATCCTGTGGCCATCAAAAAGTCACCCTCACATACAACTTCACCTCCAACATATGCCTTCCCTTCCATCTTTGCTATTCCAAATCGCTTTTGCAGTTTGATAAGTGTCATTCTCATAACTAAGGTGTCTCCAGCAATCACAGGCTTCCTAAACCGTACTTTGTCTATACCGGCAAAGAAGAAATTCTCGCGAGGACCTCCCACTTCAGGTTGTAACATAACTAAGCCACCTACCTGTGCCAGTGCCTGCATAAAACACATCACATTCATCACCACAAGCCGTAAACGAAATATGAAGCAAGCCCGACAGAGCAAGTAAGAACCATACCAACATACATATTCTATTCACAATCAATTGAGATCATATGAACATTAAGTTTGTCACAGTTGCACATTGATCTTCATATATAAATGTAGAGCTTAGCTTATGTTTTTCTGAATTACAAACCTCAACCACAACCGTCGTAACTACTCTATCTCTTATGTAAAGCTATAGCTCCAAAATACAAGCAATCACACCCACATTTCAATAATTGCATAGATCTTTTTCTAAAATCTAGGTTTACGGAGAATGAGTTCTAAGAGTAATAAACGAAAGGATTCGAGCAACATCACCTCCTAAGTATACAACCAAAAGAAAGTACTTTGTAATAGACAGATATTCAAAGTTTAAACCATAAATATTTGATTCAATCAACCACACAGTTTAGCATAGCAGAGAAAGCACAACATTGTATACTTGCACAATATGAAGCACAGTCACCATAAACATGACACCGTCGCTGACATGTCGACACCAGTAATAATTTTAAAAAATGAATAAATTAAAAAGGTACGAAAGAGTGCACAATCATATATTTATAATGAAAAAGGTGTTTACCTCAACCATGAGCACACCAGGCATGATAGGTCTTTCTGGAAAATGTCCAGGAAAGAAGTTATCATTTATTGTTACATTCTTAATAGCCACTGCAGAAACTCCAGGATTGTATTCAATCACTCTATCCACTAGAAGAAATGGAAACCTAAACAAAACCCCCACCAAAACAACAAAGAAATTTAATAACAAAAAACGGAATTAATTAACCAAATAAACACATTGAAGTGATGCGTCCAATAAAAAACACAACTTTTACTTTTACCTGTGCGGTAGAATATCACGAATTTGATAAGGGAGAAAAACATCTTCAACATAGAACGACCCTTGATAATACTCTCTCCCATGCACAAATTGCTGACATCCTTACCAAACTACTTTCTACTAGTCTCTTTCTTAGTTTCAGAGACGAACTCAAGATAGCTTCTTTTGAACCACCATGAGTTTGAGGGACAATATTAAAGAGTAAAAAATTCCTTAAGAGAAGTTAGAAGGTAGTTATGGATGTTTCAATAGCGTAAGTAACTCTAATACACTTTATAATAATTGTATATATGTGAATGCATAGAACTTCACTTGAGTAATGTGAAAATACCATACAAAGAGCAAATAGAGCTTGCTCACTTATCATCTCTTCACGATGAATGCAAACCTTCATAGAATCATGCATTCGTACTCATCAAACATTTAATACAAACATTTAATACATAGACGAAGTAGTAGTAATTATTACAAACTCAGCTCTGAGATTTAAAATTCAAACATGTGTTAAGGTAGGATTGTATGAGTTGTGTATTTTTTTTTTAAAAAACTTTAATGAACTATTTATAGAAAATGATATACAATTAAGAAAATGTTATGCAATCAAATTTAAATAATGATATGCATTAATTCGGCAAAATTGCTTTGCAGTCCCTTAACTTAATTCCAGATAACCGTTTAGGCATTTATCATTTTTTCTTCTTCAAATTTTCTCTATTTTAAAATGTTTACCATGTTATCATATTTTTTTACAGAAAATCATACACGGCTAAACAACAATAGACAAACGCATATGCACACTTTGTGGCAGGTGTCTCGTAATGGGACATCTTGGAAAAACAAACTGGCCTGTTACATAGTATATAGCTATTTAGCCACACACTAAACAGACAAGTAGTGGAGTCCATCTTCAAGAGGCAGCACCAGAAGAGAAATTATGGATACGGTGCAGAGAGAAAGAGAATCAGCATGCCATTTCATAGAACAAGTTATGAAAGCTTTCTCCAAATGCCTAGGACTTGATCCATCATCAGCTGAAAATATTCAATACGGTGTGGTTGATAATAATGGTGAAGTAACACCATCCATAACATCACGAGCCTTTAAAAGGCCTCCAAAACCTCCTTTAAGCGCAGGAAGGGGAGCTCAAGTCAATCTTTCCTCCTCTTAAAAGTTATACAACAAAATGGTGTTTGACCTTATCTAATGTTTTGTTTGGTAGTTAGATTGTCATTTTAAGTAGCTTCCATGTATTTGTACTGCCTTACATACCTATCTTATATAAGTTGTCAGCAAGATGGTTTTATTTTCGGTCATTCAGTGATATATTTGTCGCTACGACTCTGATATCTCGTCAAATTCGTTATCTTTTCATAGACAGTTGTAATAGATCATTGGAACAATGTGAAAAAGAATCTAATCTATTGTTTTCGACATCAATGACATTGAGCTAAGGGATCCACTATGCATTTAATAACAGAAACATTGCGTTCCAAAACATTCAAGTTAGTGCTCCACACTCCGCATTCTACGAACATTCAAGTTAGTGCTCCACATTCCGCATTCTACAAGTACAGACGCAATCACCATCCAGAAACAATTATTTTTTCTGGAGTTTTTAAAAGGAAACACAACTTGTATCTGGTTTTATCTAAAGGAATAAACAGGTTAAGTGTATTCCACGAAAGTTTGAAACATCAAATCCTAGTATTCAAGTTTATGTAGAGTATGAAATGCACTCAATCTCTTCTTCCTATTAGGTTTCTATACACATTATTTATTACACTACACCCTATAGCCTCATCTAAAGGGGAACATCTCTACTCCATGAAGGAAAAAAACAGAAGATCATATAACAGTAGAGAAGAGAACCTTGGTGCTGCTCAGAGCTCGCATTGAAGAAATCTAGCATCTTCTCTGGCCTCTACCTTTTTCCACGTCTAGCGAGGAAGTTGAGAGCAAAACTTGAAAAATTGATAAGGGAGAAAAACATCTTCAACATAGAACGACCCTTGATAATACTCTCTCTCATACCTCTAGCGGCTCTTCCCACCGCTAGTGCACTCGAATCAGGCTCAGTATTGGAGCTGTATTCCATTCCCCGCAAAGAAGCTATATATAACCAAATGAAGAACATTGCTTAAAAGGCATAGTTTTAAATTACCACCAATTGCAGCCACAATATAACAGTTTCATAACTCATTTACAAACTCAAATTATAGAAATTTAATAACTAGTTAAGACTCAAACTTTCCAGTAAAGTAAAGTGTGTGTGATGTCCGATACATGTCGATATCAACATCAACACATATCAATGTTGTCTAGTTATTATGTTGGTTCTCTGTATCATAGTAACATGTTCTTAATTTAGTAAGTAACCTGAAGAAGAAGGCATAGTGGTTAAACTGCGAAGCCCCTGCTCCACCGAGCGAACGGCGCGAGTGGAGCTTCTAACACCTTGGGTAACCTCTTGCCTGCATCACAGAAACAAAAACTAAACAATGGTTTGTCGTTGTAATTTTGATTTGAATGCCATTAACCTAAGAATAATACAGATAGTAGAATTTAAAAAATGGCAATTACCCAAGATCACTGAGTTCAGAGGTTAAGTCACTGATTTCCATGGTGGATAATCTAACTGCAGACATTGTATCAGGAAGTTCCTCTCTTGCTGTATCCATAACCTTCTCAAGTGATTCCGCTGCCTTCTTGAAAGCCTTTATTATTTAATAACGTTCTGATTATATCAGATTTTAAATTAAGCTATTTCAGAAACTATTGTATATACTACCAAACAAGGCTTTATAAAAACACAAACCAGAAGCGTGGGAACTGCAGAACGAAAAAGCCACGTCGTAAATATCGCTGTCTGAAAAAAAACAAAAATCAATTGAGGAATCGAGAAATTGAAAAACGGATTTGGATTTAGAGAGAGATAGGGTAAGGTACCGCGACGGCGAGGGCTTGGAGGAGAGTGAGGTTCCAGTGAGAGGGATTGAGCGATGAAGATGAAGATCCAACGGTGGAGATGTAATGCGGCGGTTGTTGAGGTGAGTGGGTGGTGAAAGAAGAGATGAGTTGGGGGAGGGCGATGGGTTTTGCGAAGGAGAGGTTATGTTGTTGTGAGAGGTTACGTTGTTGGGCGATGGGTTTTTACAGAAATGAAAGTGAGGACGACGAAGGATGAAGAGAGCTTGAATAGGAGCAGACGAATGGAGAAGAAGATGAACAACTGGGTTTCGTTTTCTGTAATGAAGAAATGAAGAAATGAAGAAGCTCTGAACGAAAGAAATGAAGAAGATTTAGGGATTTTTAATTTTATTATAAAAACAACCTACGAAAGCGCTTTTAAAAAGCGCTGGCATAGGTCCCCCTTTCAAAGCGCTTCTGAGGTAAAAAGCGCTTTCGTAGGTCCCCCTTTCAAAGCGCTTTTCAAAAGCGCTGGCATAGGGTTCCCTACCAAAGCGCTTTTCAAAAGCGCTTTCGTAGGTTAGATATTTCAAATACCTATGAAAGCGCTTTCTGAAAAGCGCTTTGGTAGGGAACCCTATGCCAGCGCTTTTAAAAAAGCGCCTTCGTAGGTTTCCCTTTTTTTTAATTTTGTTTTTTGTGAAGGCTATGGCAGCGCTTTTTCAATAAGCGCTTTAGTAGAGGCGCTGCTAAAACTTATTTTTGGCGTAGTGATTATTGAGAATAATATTTATGCATGCTTTCTTGCTTGGATCTAACTGGTTATGTCATATATCACTTCATGAAGCTTTCCTTGATCATTAGTAAAAATTTAAATTCTATGTGATCACTTATGTCACTAAAAGTGATCAACATACAACATACATAAAAACTAAGTGATATATTGATAGGATAAGCCATAAGTGATCAAGATACATAAAAACTAAGTAATATATTGATAAAAACTAAAAGTGATCAATAGTAGACAATAGTGAGAGTTTGCTTAAGTTGTTTTTGCTGGGAGCAGAGGCTAAGTTACCAAAGGTTGATAATGTATCAATGTTATTGATGGTAGACTAGAAACCAATGACTTCAAAACCATATATATATATATATATATATATATATATATATATATATATATATATATATATATATATATATATATATATATATATATATATATATATATATATATATATATATATATATATATATATATATATATATATATATATATATTTTTGAATCTTACTTATCTGTTTGAACATACATGAATCAAAAGTGGCTTCACTAGAGTTAGATATGGAAAAAAAATTCTTCTACCTCTGATTCTTATTCATCTATTAGATTTTTTGGATGGAAAGAAACTTCTTTTTTTCTTTTTCTGATTGATGCCTTGGTTATGTGTTATACTTGTGCATATCCAATGATTTATCTTGGTTCTCCATTGATTCATATGTTGGCTTCATTTTCTCATCTAAATCTTGAAAAGGTTATCGCCTTTGAGACTTGAATCATTAAAGAAATACATTTGTGAATGTATTCTAAGATATCGATGTATGATATTAAGAATGTCATTGCCATCATTTGAGAGTACGACCTCTCATTGCCATTGCAACCATCTTCATCTTCTCCTCTTCCAAAATTCCTTTGACTCGAAATTTTTTTCGATTGTAAGAATCCACCAATATGCATCTTCTATTCTTACTCAAAATTACAAAAATGCAACTCTATTTAGCGGGAATAAAATTGAAACGAAAGTACAAATTGAAAAAGTTTTTCTATCAGGATTTCAATATTATAAAGGGAGAATACTAAATAAAATAAAAAAGAAATAAAAGATATTTTTTCATTGATTAGATAATTTTGACTCTCTCAATAAGAGTACATATATAATGATAATAGTAATAAGTAGTGAACTAAATGGCCAAGACTGAGGTGTGGACCATTGTAGGGACTAGGAGATGCCACGGCCCCACCAATTTTTTTAATTTTTTTCATATAGTGAAAATACAAATATACCCTCCACTTAACATTAAAATTACCAAAATGTCATACACTATATCTTAGAATTCTTTCCAAATTCTAGTATGTATTGCCTTACAACAACAATCCCAGTATGTAGTTAATGTTATGAATTTGGTTTGTTCAACAAAAACTTTTATTTAAGAATTGAGAGAAGATGGTTGGGATAAATTGTTTACTTGTGTGAAGTCTTTTTGTGAAAAATATGATATAAAATTCCTAATCTCGATGATGTTCACTCAATAACAAGATTTGGGCGCTCTCCTCTTGAAGAGAACCAAGTAACCATTGAGCATTACTTTAGAGTTGAAATATTTTTCACTACCATTGAAAAATAATTACAAGAGTTAAATAGCAGATTTAGTGAGCAAACGATTGGTTTGTTAACTCTAAGTTATGCTTCGGCTCCGAAGGATAATTACAAGGCTATTAAACTTTGATACTATTTGCATTCTAGTTGAAAAATATTATCCTATGGACTTCAATGAGCAAGAGAGAATTAATTTACAATTTCAACTTTGACATTTTATTATTGACGCTCATCAAACACCGAGTTTGAATAATTTATCAACTATTCAAGACTAATGTTCATATTTGATTGCAACTGGAAAGAATGAAATTTATTATTTGATTAATAGACTGCTTCTCCTTGTCATGACTCTCCTGGTATCTACAGTCACTACTAAAAGATCTTTCTCAACAATGAAAATTATCAAGACAATAATATTGAGAAGCAAAATTGAAACTGATTTTTTAGGAGATAACATGACAGTTAACATTAAAACAGAAATTGCGCAAATATTAATTCTGAGGCTATTATTGATGATTTCAAACTACTCAAAAATCGTAGAGCATTATTATAAAATATTTTTAAATAATAGTTTTTGATCTTAAAATTTCTATTTAAGACAATTTAGATATTTTATATACAATATAATATAAATATTTGATTTATTAATTATAGTTTAATTTTGTGATCACCCCAAATTTTAGAGTCTGATTCCGCAATTGGCAAGACTAACACACCAACTAAACATTATTTAAGATAAAGTCCAACTAATATAAATTATCCTTCTAATTTAAATGGTATAAAATACTAACTCCGTCATCCTATCATATATCATTTGGATTCATTGAATAACATTCCTCATATTACTTGCATTTCAACTTTAATATGTGTATACACTTAGTAATAAGAACAAGAATATTCAAGATCATTTTCAAGAATATTCATTATTTGTTCAACAATTCTAGGTAGTCGCTGAAGGCCATATTGACACTCAAAAATTTGTTCATTATTTCTTCGAATTATTTAATTTCAAGAATTAACATTAGTCAAAGTAACGTGGGAATAGATGACATGGATTATCAATCGAATTATCCATACAGCCAATGTGTGAGCATTATTTCATAATTAAAAAATTGCTCATTAATACAAAAAAGAAACGGCAATAAAACTTCTGAAAAAACAAAATGAAGTATTCACTTATCAATCTTAAGAGGGGGTAAGGAACTAAATTGATGTATCTAATATATAATAATGATCAAATACATTAATTATTTAATGAACAAAAGAAATTATTATTTCTTATAATAGTAACCAAAGGTATAAGACAATAGCAGCAAATACAAAATCCCTTCTATATTTGTTCTCAAAGATTTTCCTAAGTGATATCAGTTATGGAATTTATGAGCATCTAGGGGATGCAAATATTAAGCAATTCCTTATTTTTCAAGTATGCTACCTTCATAATGGTAAAACGAGCTCAATATACTTCATTTTTGTTTTGCAATAATTAAGAGTCTGGATACAATTAATTCACATAACAAATCAATGAATTCATTTGCAACCAAATTATTTTGGCCTCTTATCACATGCTCAACCTATAATCAAACAAAATATTTCGGTAAGAAAACCACAAACTAATCTTCCCAATATCTAAAACAAAACAAAAAAAGATATAACTATTTCCAACAAAACATGTTTTAACTTTTAGTTTTAATAAACATTAGCTACATCCACAAAGGTGAACAACATAACAAAACCACTACAACTAATACCAATTAAATAATATTATCAAATTGATCTTTATGTAAGATATTGAGGGATATTAAGATCAACAGTGTGAGAATAACACTACAAAGAATGTGTTATATATAGAGAGATTTACAGTTAATTACATGTTATAGTCGATGTGGGACTTATAAGAATAAGATTAGTTCTACATCTGATCTTATGTTTTGATGATAACTTTACATGTTATCTTTGAGAACAATTGTGTATTCTAACGGTTTCTGTCTAGCGTGTTGTTTTTTCTATACAGGCTCTGACTCTGGTAAGAATGCGTGTGATGTCATTAGGTTTTAAACTCAACACTCTAGAAAAATACCTTTGGTGTATTACAAGTTAAGTCAAGATTAAGGAATGTGTCTTATGCAACAATTCTAAGGAACATTATCAAAAGAGCTTTTGATCGTGACTTGTGCAAGGAAGCTTTGAAGGCCTTCTAAAGATTTACTTATGATGTTTCAAATTCTGAAGATGCTGAAGACAAGGTTCTGTTGAACGAGTTCTGAAGATCTGAAGACATTCTTCTGAAGACCAAATTTTGAAGACTGAGAAGGCAAGAGTTCTCTGAACAAGCTCTGTAAGATTCTAAAGACTTAGGTTCTAAAGATACATAGTTCTGATCCTTCTACGTCATGCTTCATCAATAAACATATCAGAAGCCTCTGAAGATATAGAAGACGAAGATCAAGACTAAGGGATTGCATGTGATGGTGATTATAAAAGTATGAAAGTACTCTGTGACCCTACTCTTTAGAGTAGTGCAAGGACATACCTTTTGTACTATTGTCTATCAGTCTCACCATGACTGTTGAGAACAATACAACTTATTTGTGTTTTCTATTCTACTCTCCAACGAATCTCTTCTTTTAAGCTATAAAAGAAGTACTTCGAAGAATTTAAAATCAATGAATTAGTTCTACAAAACTACACCAAACTGGCGCTAGATGAAGATAAAGTGATCTGAGGTGTTATTTTGGAATCCAATGGTGGAGACATAGCCAGCGAAACATTTGTACCAGGCACAAGGTGCTTCCTTCAGACCATAAAGATATTTCCGCAAGCGGCACATATAATTTGGGTGATGAGGATCACGAAAACCCAATGACTGATGCATATAAACAGTATTGTGAAGATCACTATGTATAAAGGTATCCTTAACATCTAACTGATGAATGGGCCAGGACTTGGAGAGAGCAATGGTGAGAATAGTGTGAATGGTCGTAGGTTTCACCATAGGGCTGAAAGTCTCATCACAATTCACTCCTGCAACTTGAGACATGCCATCACCTATAATCTGAGCTTTGTAACACTCAAAACAACCATTAAATTTCTTTTATGCTAGAAAACCCACATACAACGAATAATGTTAACATCACAAGGTCGAGAAACTAAATCCCACGTATTATTTCTAATAAGTGCATTAAATTCAGAATGCATTATGAATTTCTAATTAGGGTTAGAAAGGGAAAGTTTATGGTTTTTTGGAAGAGGGTAGATGGTCGGGTCATCAATGGTAACAGACAAGTTAAAGAGTTTCCTAGGTTTGTAAATGCCCCGCATGCTGCGAGTGGCCATGGTCCGGGTATGAGGTGTGGGTTGGGTTGGCGGTGAAGGTGAAGGTGAGGGAGATGTATCTAGGTGATTCAACAAGGAGGGTATGGGAGTGGATGGGGAGGCTGATGATATATGGTGAGGGTTAGGTATATGTGACTTTTTGAGAAGGTCATCTGGTGAAGACTTTAAAGATGTATGAGTCCACTGATGTATAAGGGAGGAGTCTAAAGCATTAGTGAAATGGTCGTATGTAGGAGCAAATGTGGAGGACATGCAAGCAAATGAAAATTGAGTCTCATCAAAGATGACATGTCGAGAGATGATGATTTTTATGTGAGAAAAATCAAATTACTTATAACCTCTATGATTAAGAAGATACCCTAAGAAAACACATGAAGTCGAGCAAGGTTGTAATTTGTTGATGGTAGTGAAAGGAAACAATGGATAACAAAGACAACCAAAGATGCAAATATGTGTCTGAGAGGGATCACAATGATATAGAAGTTGGATAGGAGAGAGATTAGACATAGTTTTCTCAGGAAGAATGTTAAGAAGATATATAGTCATTTGAAGCGCATGATTCCAAAATGAGGGAGGAACAGATGCATGAGCGAGAAAAGTGTGAATCATGTTTTTAATAGTGTATATTTTTCATTCCACCCTTCCATTTTACGATGAAGTGTTGGGGCAATAAAAGTGAAAAATGAGACCATTTTATCAACATAATAATTAAGAAAAGATGTATTGTCAAATTCTCGACGATTATTGCTAAAGCGGTAAAGCGGCAAGCAAAAAATAAGTATTTATTTTAAGGTGATATAAGTTATATCGTATCGTCTCCCCATGGATTAGTGAGAGGGAAAAACTATCATTCAACATTTTCAATCCTTCTAAGTTTATATTGGGTTTGCAGGAAAAATGCGGGAAAAGTAAATAAAGTAATAAATAAAGTAAGTAAACAATCATCTGCAGCTTAAGAGAATTTATTTTGGAATCAAATTTCATTCACCCCATCAAATATTTAAACTTGCGGATCAATTGCACT